TTAGTGTGTAATTGGATAGCACACAGTTATTGCTATTTAGTAGCAAAGGCTTATGACTGAAATAGTTCTTACATTTATTTAGACTGAATATCAACAGTCTACAGAGTCCAAAAGAGGGGTAATTTTTACTTAAATTGCTGAGAAGCTAAGCAACAAGCACATTTATTGCTTATATTATTAAACAATAGTTGAATTCCAACCTTAGTTTAGCCACCATTCCTAATACACGAGTCTAATCCTGCGTTAGGTTAGGCAAATATTGCTTAACTGCCAATATTGCTAATATAGCAAAGTTATTGCTAAAATTTGCTATATTCTCTAACTAACATTATGCTTATTTAGTTTTTGAAACCTCTGTGCTGTTATCAATCTGTGACCGGAACATGACCCTTTCTAAGAAGATTGTATTTATCAATAAAGATTTATGTTACTCAAACCTTGTCATTTATGTATTAGGGGGATTAAATAGCAATTCTCTAAAATTACGCAACATCTGTTTTTGAGACAAGTCTAAAAACCAAGGCTTTCAATTTGTGCCCATTACTAACACTCAGTGTTAGAAATATGTTAAGTGTTAAGTTTGGAACTAATGTCCCACGCTGGACCAAAGGAACCGCCAGGTTAAAAGTTGTGGCACTCAAATGAAATTCAATAGAAATGACTCTAATATCGCCAAGGTCATTGATTATCAACGTTTTAAAATCCTAATCAAGTGTTAAGTTAAAAAAAACAGATTTTTTTTTTGCGGATTTTTAGCCTGAAAAATGCTTTATCTATTTACTATGTGACAATTAAAAAATCTTGGAAAACAATATTTTAACATGTTCTACATTTTATTAAACTACAATGGTTGCTTACTGACTAAACAGGGCTTTGATGTATTATTTTAACTTATTCTTCTTGTGTTAAAGTCGATTGCAGATGAAGTTAGCCGTTTTGCATGCTCAGGATGTTCACTGTTTCATTTAAATCTGTTCCAAGTTGGCTTAAATTTTGCATGAATAGCTTCTCCACATTGCTCTGCAAACTTTGACAGTCCACAATTGTGAAACTCTATGAAAGGTTCCACATGACAAAAAAGTATATGAACTTTCCAGGTACAGCATAGCTTAAGGCCTAAAATATCTGCTATTTCTTGAGCAGATAAGAATGAGTTCTTTAAAACTGTAAATGTCCTTTTATAATCAGGTTGGAGAGCTTTTCCAAAGCATGCTTCTTTTACAGATCGGAAATCTTTAAGGCATTGCGCAACAGGAAGCAACATAGGCATAGATTTACTGATATCAACTTCTAAGGAATCTAAATTCTTCAAGATTCTATTGGAATTATTTCCATCCCAGCCTCTTCCTTGGTATCCTCATTGGAAGATATTGTTGGATACTAACCAATGATCAAATCTAGGCCATGCATCTAAAAGTATTACTCCTAAACTTTTATCAAAGCCTATCAGAATATGAAGCTCAGGGGGAGGTATCTGTTGTTCCAGAACTGTATCAGGGTTCTCTTCATAGTACAAGATTCGAGGATTAATCACATTCATGTAGTTTTTCATATCTTTCTTGATAGAACCATTCTCAGCATATTGACTATACCAATAATCCAAGCTTCCGAGGGTTCTTATGGTTCCTTTTTCCAATGAAGACGGTCCTTCACACCACAGACAACTATGCTTTCTGCTGTGTGAAGAAAGACCAAAAACTGCATTTGCACATTTTAGGTCAAATGCAAGATAGTAGCTAACATTTTCCAGTTTCAATTTTTCAAGAATTAGGCGAAGATTGTAATTACTTTCAGGAACTTCTTCTGCAATAGCGAGAACTTGACACCTTTGAACTCCACTGTTTAGAAAACCATTACTTAAGTCATCTTCAAGAGGATCGAACACATTAAGAGTCACTTTCAAAAACGATCCTCCTCCATCTAGAGAAATTCTAACAAAAGCTGTCAGAGGATTGAGGTTTCTTTCTTGTATGAGTTTTAATATAAACACTGATGTATCCTGTATGAAAACTAAATTCTTGCTCAGAACACTTTCATCCGAACCCAGAAAGTTTATCTAAATAAAACATACTATGAGATCAAGAAAAAATTGTAATTTTACTGTAAAATTAGATTCATTAACATGTGCGCACGTGCAGGAGTCACTTAAAAGCGTTAAAATATTTAAAATGTACTTCGTACTGTTGTTGCTGCAAAATTGAAATGTTTCCTTTATAATTACATGAATTCCAGAATGTCCCGATATATATGAAAATTGGCTGAAGATTTTTATTAGTGTTGTTCTTTCAAAACAATTTTTCTCTGCCCCCCCCCCCCCTAACCCCATTCCTGTTTTAGTAGTTTTAAGTCCTGGCCCTATATATAAGAGAATATATTTTTTTTTCTCAGAAAGGAACTAAGCTACAAACTCTGATTTTCTAACCCTTATATTTTTGCAACCTGATACCGTAAACCTTTGCCATTTCAAACATTATTAAATCTGTTAGGTTTCAGTACTGTCATAGTTTAAAAAATCTAAAGCTTCAATATTGGAATTAGAAAATTTAAGATTGTGGCAAAACTCCAGTTTCTGTAATTAAATATCATCAGAAATTACCTTTTCAACTTCATAGTAAGCAGAAATAGTTTGTTCCAGATCCTTTAGCTTTCCAAGTACATTAGATTACACAGAAAGTTGAGATTCCATAACCTTCCGCAGAACTGACACTAGTTGCTTAGTTTTGTTCAAGGATAGCTCAAGCACTATTTGAAGTTCTTTTATCAATTGTAGAGAAATTTGTTGAACAAATTTTCTTTCTGATTTCTTATCTGCTGTTCCTATGGTTATCATGATAGGATTTCCACCAGTTGAAACTCGGAATTGTGAACCCTTCTTTATATTTTCATCATCCATTCTTTTCTTCAGTATCCCACTTGCAACCTGCTCTGCTTTAAGGGTACCCAGAGTAAAGGCTAGAAAGATTAGATTCGATACAGCAGTAGTGGAGCAGCAGAAATGATCAGAACCTGGTCTTACAGAAGTAAAACAAGCTGTACAAATCCTTGTTGAACTAGTTTGTGCTTCAGATTCCTTTTCATCAGATGAATCATTTAAACTCATTATACTGGAGGTTCTAGTAACTCTCTTCCATTCAACCTTAAAAACACATTTTTATGAATTTTATTTTAAAGAATTTGAGTAACATTTAACATATTTTATCTAGATTAATTTTTAATTGGATTAGATGGAGGTTTAAAGTTTTATGCATCCTGCTGAAATATTAAACTCAACAAATATATTATTATTATCAGTTTAAATTAACTGAATTTCCTTGCTTACTCTTTCAGACCAAGTGCCTCTTGCAGTGTCTCCACTATTCAATTTATACAGATTGCGTTTGCAACCAGAGCAAACTACAGAGGGATAAATGAATGAATTCTTGGAGTATCCATTAAATATGAATAACTTCATCATATTCTTAATCGTTTCATTCACAGCATGTAGAACTTTTGATCTGGAACCAAAACTAGTCCAACAACAACAACAGATACCTTGGAGACCTTTCTTTTCTTCCATGATTGGTACAATTTAAGTGTACAGATTTAAATTTTCCCGGATTTTCAACCATTTTTCTCGCGGATTTTCCCGGATTTTTTTTTAAATGATGAACTAAAAATAAGATAATTTCAAAAATATTTAATTTAAAAATTTTTATGTTTAACACCTGATTCAGATTTTCAAAAAGCTCTTAAAATAATCCTGACATATTATTGAATTATTTAGAAATGGTTTCATTTGAGTGCCACAACTTGTAACCTGGTGGTTCCTTTGGTCCAGTGTGGTCCCCTGAACTGAAGGGTTGCTTGATACATATTGTAATCCTAGTCACAAGGACGGTTATTAGACGAACTGTTGATACATTAGTGAGGGGAAAATAAATTCCCTGTTACTCTGTGTTTGCCTATTCAAAAGTTTAATATGCTCTGTAGAGCACCAAGCCAAGCCATCTTTCCTAGATGGCATGAAACACTACTAGGTATTAGCATGGATTACTTCATCTGAGACAGAAGGAGGAAAATATCAGGCTTGGCTTCAGCAATCCAGTGCATTGTAGTAATTTTTTAAGATGATGTTTTCTCTCTACACTGTGTTGCTCTAAACAGTTCGATTCTGTTTTATTATTTTAATTAAGTAATCTTTTTGTGTTTATTGTGTTATATTTTAATGTCGTGAAACAGAACTAGTAATATGAATATTTATTGAAGTCATTTTTTTATTCAAATCCTATCTATGTATAAATTTGGCTTGTCTGTCTGTTAGTCTGATTGTTTGTTTGTATCCAACAAACGTCAAAACGGCTGAACCGATTGGGCCTACATTTTTTGTGGGACATCACATGACCACAGGGATGGTTTATTAATGATAAAAAAAAATTTAAAAATGTGTTTTAAAGGTTTTTAATTTGTAAAAAAATTTAAATTCTTGAAAATCCGTAATTTTTTTTTTAAAAATCCGCAAAATTTTTTTCTTCTTTGTTTTGAAATGTAAACAAAAAGAACATGTTCACAATTTAAATAGAAAAGCCTTGTAACATATATATATATAAAGCAGAATATATTTAAACATGAATTTCCTGTTTTAACTCAAGCCACTGATCAGTTCTTTCATATGATTGAATGAATACTAAAATATTAGTGAAACAAATTATGCTGAACTAACTAGAAAAGAAATAAGAGGGGGGAGGGAGGAGATGAAACAAATGAAAAATTGCTTTACATTGTTTTAAAGTTCTCTTTTTAAAATAAAGGATTTATTAAAGTTTTCTTTATAAAGTAAAAGATTTATTAGTATTAAAATGCTGAATTGATTGATAATATTGAATTTAAATTAAAATTCTCAATTTAAAAAAAGTGAAAAGATTAAAAACCCCACTTTTAAAATTGGGTTAGTTTTTCAGAAGATAAATAATATTACAAAATGGCAAGTCTAAATATTGAAAATATGAATATTCAATCAATGACCAGCTCTAAATATTGAAAATATGAATCCTCTTCTCAAGAAAATGGAATTTGCTGTAACAGGACCATTAGTTATCAGAGCTATGCAGATTGAAAAGGTATACCAATAATTCTATAATTTAAAAAACTGGAAAAATATTTGGGAAGTTTCATGTTTAAAAAAAGAATTAAATTTATCGCTTTGTTATTTCAGAAACATTTTAATTGTGATAAAATCCAGTTAAGCACTGAAAAATTTAGAAATAGCAGCTGCTGATAAGTGTCAGTATGAATTTTCATATCTCTAATTTGCCAATCCTGAAATGTCTGGTAATCAGATGTTAAATCAAATTATAATAGTTTCATAAATGAAATTATATTTCTTGTTAGTTGTCCAACCTTATCAGCTGTTGGTTCCATAAAGAATCTTAACACTAAACTCAAACTGTAATTTTATAATCCTTATATCTTTGCAACCTGAAGGTGTAAACCTTTCGTATTAAAACTGTTTAGTTTAGCAGAATACTTAGCTTTAGATATCTTAAGTCTTCAAAACAAATAGACGCAAAGGTCCAAATTACAGTTTGAGACTAATTTAATTCAGTCTCGTTTTCAATTTAAAATTAGTTTCTAGTGAGGTTTTCTAACATACTATAGAGGATATATCCAATGTATTCAAGGAACTTGCCTCAGGGGCTGAGAAATCATTTACAAGATTGATAAAGACAAATCTTGGTGATGCTCATGCTATGGGGGACACACCCATCACATTTATTCGACAGGTGAATCATTTTTTTTAATTTGACCATTCAAGAGGATTACAAAATCTCCTACTTCCTTATGCATCTCCACTGTAGCCCAAGACCTGATGGATGAATTGCTTGTCATTAAGTCAATTCGGTAATTTCCTAACCCGTCAATTCAGATTATTAAAGAAAAAATATACATTGTCTTTTTAAAGTAGTATTAATTATTTAAAACTACTTTACAGGGAAGTTAGGTTAATTTTATTGTACCAAGGGATCAAAAAACAACAGGTTAAACTGTATATATCAATTACTGCTTAAGTAGAACTTGTGTCAATTGGGCTTAGAAATCCTAAATGTGATTGTAAAATGGAAAATTCTGATAAAAATTCTGTTTGAGGTGTTGTCTCTGCTAACCTACCCTCCTCTGCTGGAATTTGAAATGTTTCCTGCAGATGCTAAGCAACGTGCTCAGGAAATCTTGGCTAGCTGCAGAGGTAATATCAAATGGTCTGTCAATGTAAGTTTTCCTAAAATCTAATGTTAAAACGCATTTATAAACTTTTGTTATTGTTCTTCTCAAATAACGTGATGGGAAGGAAACATGTAGATTTCCTTTTGTCAAGAGCTTTTCAAAACCTTTGTTGTTAGATCTTTAATTTCTTAAAAGTTAAGAAATCTTCTGAAGAGGAAGAGGGAGCATAAAATCTTCCCTATTTTAAGATAAAATAATTCAGCTTCTGCGACACCAACACCGACAATGAGGAAGCGGTGCCACCTAAATTGTTTCTGCAGGACAATTCTGCTACAGATTTTAAATTCGACAATGTTTAACTGATGTTTATTTGAGGATCAAGTGTGGGTTCGTACAGTGAAGGAACTGGGATTGAGTTGATCCGTAAGCATGTGGCGGATTACATCAATAGCAGGTTATTTCTACAATTTTTACCTTATCCTTGAGAAAGAAGGTGTTTAATTTATCCCAGAGATATTTAGAGAGTTGAAATTTTCCCTGGGTGTTAATTTTAGGACTGTAGTATGGTTTTGGAGAGTAATATAGCCATTCAAAGCCTAAGGGTGTCAGAAATTATTTATTGGCATATTTTTTAAAAACGTCTTATAAACCAGATAAAGTTTAATCTTTGATAAAACTTTAGCCTGTATAATTGCAATTAATTTTTAAAACTTTCTCAAAACAGTATATATTTTCTAAATTCATTAAGTTAAGAGTTTAAGTCAAAATAAGTATTGATAAATATTGCTTTAAATCAAGTAGATATCCTTAAACATAACGATGTAAAACCTTTCAGAAAGTAGGAAAAATCCTTCATACAAGATTTTCCAATCCAAACCAAAATTTTATTTTGAACAAAATATTTAGTATCTGTAAAGAAACATTTTAAGTATAATTTCAGTCTAGTTTTTAATTATTTCAATTTATGTAAATGCTGGTTTAATACAACATTAAACAGCTGATCTGTCAACAGGTGGAGGGATGTCAACCTTGCTAATTAGTAACACCAAAAATCTGGGTTGTACTGAGTGGGTAATTGGGGTAATAGGGAATACTGAGGTACTGCTGATAACTCATTATTACTAAGCTTGGTTAGCTTTTTTTAAATATCTGCTCTTAGCGGAATAACTCTAACTCTATCATTTGAATTTGGTTCCATGTGTAAGTATCAAGGGAACTCAGAAAAGTCAAATTCATATACAACCAATATGATATGATTATTTAAGAGATGGTTATCCTTCTGACTGGGAGGATGTTTTTCTATGTGCTGGGGCAACTGAAGGAATCAGGGTTTGTCTCAAGTTGATAGCTAATTCAGGTGTTAATTCATTTACCTATGTTAAAATCCATGATATTTTATGGTAATGTTATTGGATATTGGTTAATCTATGATCAGCATTTTGTTAATCTATTATCAATCTATGGTTAATCTATGATTGGTTGATAATGTATGGTACATAAGTTTAATCTATGTTTACTCAACAGTTAGCCCTTGTGGTAAGGAAATAATGAACTTGGGCTATTTATGTGTTTTTAACTACTTAGTACCTAGAGAATGGCTCAGTAACCAGAACAGGTGTAATGATACCAATACCACAGTATCCTCTTTACTCTGCCTGTCTGACAGAGCACAACATGGATCAGGTTTAATCTAGTTGAAAATAATGAAAAATTTCTTTTTGTGTTGAATAATTTATAAATAATCTTTATTTTACTATTATTTGTTTATTAATGTTTTGAAAGTCAAAATCTTTTGATGTCTACTAATATAAAAGAAGATATCAAGATGGAAAACACAGAAATACAAAGGTTTTTGATTTTAATATTGCATGTTTTGATAGGTTGGTTATTATCTGGAGGAGACGAATAATTGGTCACTGGACCCTTCAGCTCTTGAAAGAGCGTTTAAGAGTTCTAACAACAGTTTGAATATCAGGTTTAACTAATTATAAAAATTAAACGTTCAACATGTGCAGTGGTATCAAGTGAGCCTCCATGTCAAGACTCATTGTGCTCTCTGAGTTTGCGCATTGTAAATTGGATGGGGTTAAAGATGACATTCAATAGCAAAACTAATATAAATTAGTTCATTTTCTGTACATTAAGGACAATCTTTGACCTCAACAACACACATACTTCTCCAGCTACTTAGCTACTTCTTGATGGATGGCTTCAACGATTTGATCTGAGGCCATGCCTAAGTGAATGAATTTATTAAGTCATTTAATCCATGTATGTTGTTCTAAAAAATCTTGGAGTTAAAAAAGTCAGAATGCCCTCTATGATTTTTCACAGTTCAGATTTACACACTTATCTTGAAACTGCACTTTAGAGTGCATGGTTTGTTAAGTCAAAACTGTGCCCTTCAAGAAAGATTTGTGTGTTGAACCCTGAATTCTCTTTTCCATACTCAAAGTCCTTTGCACAGAGTAACAAAAATTGAAAATAATATATTCTCTAAAAAGCATAGGATATTTTGTACGTTCTTAACCCTATCCCCGCTGGGGTACTTGAAAACCAGGATACGCTGGGGGGGGGTCAATTTGACCCCCCCCCCTCTAAATCCCATGTTTTATGTCCAAATATGACAAATGATACATCATTAGAAAGCTCTTGTGCTCTACTTTTAGAATCTGCAAAAAAATTTGCAAATTTGCGAAAATTGAATTTTTTATCGCAAAATCCAGTTTTATAGTAAAAATGTTTGCAAAAAAAAATTTGTCCAAAAAATTACAAATTATACATTTTTGAAAAGCCCTTGACCATGCCATTTTAAATATGCAAAAATGTTTGCAAAATTTTAAATAACCTGATTTTTAATCAAGAAAAACTAAAAATGTGCAAATTTCCTTTGACAGGTTGTTTGCAAAAAATTTGCAATTTTTTTTTCGCAAAACTTGTGCAATCCGTTTCCTTATGTCATAGGCTTTCCAAAAAGCTAAATTTTATCAAAATCTGACAAGTGAAAGTGGGTCAAAACAAAGATTTAGTTTGCTACAGGCAAAAGCAGTCATTCAGGCAGTGTGCCTGAGGACTCAGGCAGTTAGTATTAAAGCCCGGTTTTAGGCCTAAAGGGGGGGCTTTGGGTATGTAAGAAAAGTCAGAAAATTTCAACAGCCTCAGACCAATACTTTTTGAGTTATGTAAAAAAAACTACAGGGGGGGGGGGCAAATTGCCCCCCCCCCCCAGCGGGAATAGGGTTAATCATTTAATGGAACCAATGCGAATCAGGCATTAAACTCTTTACACATAGGGTCACCTAAAATTACTAAGAGTCTTTCAGAAGAAATTTAAAGTATCTAACATGTGTTTATGGTAGAGCCATTGTTGTGATAAACCCAGGAAATCCTACAGGACAAGTTCTTTCCAGACAAAATATTGAAGACATCATTAGATTTGCACATAAGGTGACAGTAACTTGTCTTATCTGAACACTAGAATATTGCATGAAAATAAAATTTTTAATACCTGAAATTGTAAATTTTTTGTTCACAAAGTAGTTTTGCTTTCCTCTTGCACATGAAAAATTTGTAATTCACAACTTATTACCTTGATATATGATGTTATTAAGCACTATCTACAGGAATTTCAAATTGACACAAAGGCTCTGAGTTTTGCCTTAAACACAAATGTTTGCATCCCTATATCTTTTGCCGCCTGATGGTGCAGTAACAAAAGTCATAATACTTTTGTCATAAATATGTTTTTCATAATACGTTTGTCATAATTACAAAAGTCATAAATTACATTTTTCATAAATACGATTTTCATAGTGTAATAATCATACATAATCATATTTTCATATTATTTCTATTATAATTTTAAATATGTTTACATTATATTTGTAATATTAGATTGGCTATTTGTTCACTGGCTAGAAAATCATCCTGGGATACAAGATGATAGAGTCACCAACTAGATTTCCATTTGATTTTTGGGTAACAATCCTTTTGTTGCAGCTTTTACTGGAACATAACCAGTAGTTTACCTTGTTGTTGTTGTTGTTGAGGTAATACATGAAGTGGTGAGCATTAACAGCTTTGACAGTTTTAGATGCTTCTCAAATCTCATGAGATAATCCATGTTCCATGCAATTTCAGAGAAAAGATAGTTTAGCAGATTTGAGGATTTTCTACTCTCTTAAACATGTCAAAATGGGATAAATTATGACAAATGTATGATTTGTAAACTATAAAAAACGTATTTATGACAGATGGAATTTGTGACTTGTGTCATTTATGACTTTTGTAATGAAAAATGTAATTTATTAATATCGTACTATGACAAATGTATTTATTGAAAACATATTTATGACAAACATATTATGACTGTTGTTACTGCATCCACCTGATGGTTCAAGGGTTTGATATTGCAAACTTAGACTAATTGATCTTCAATTCAAAGTTTGAAATATCAAAAGTCTACATCAGGTTGCAAAGTTATAACAAAATACTACCATAATATCAAGATTAGAATTTTATTTAGAATGGTCTGATGGTGTTTGCAGATGAAGTTTACCAACACAATGTTTACTCAGCAAATTCTAAATTTCACAGCTTTAAAAAGGTAAATTTTGAAGTAATGTAACTGTTAAAAAGGACAAATTAAACTCAATTATACAGAGTAGCATGCCTGATTCAGATTTACAAAAGTATCATCAAACTTTATATCTGAACTAGCCTGTGTAAAAAATTTGAAAGGAAAAAAAATGGTGAAAAAAAGATTTGAAAGAAAAAAACTTCGATTTTTTTTAACTATTACACCCCTGCCACCAATGAGTTTCCACAAAAAAAAATCAGCCCCATCAATCAAACCGTGTTGCCGGCTCTGCGCAAAAAAAAAAACCCAGTTGCAGAGACTGTGGGATTTGTAATGCATGCCGGAACAAAAAAGCAACAGAGGAGATTAAAGAAGGGCTGTTTTAATCGGGTAAAATGCCAGGGATGGAACTGATCAGAGATTTACACATTTCTTCCTTGCAACCTTTTATTTAACCAAGGTCTGTCTAAATGTTCTCAATTATAGACCCGGCTGGACATTGTAGAACTTCATTGTAGAACTTCAGGTGTAAACCAAAGATTTGCTGACACTTCAAACTAAACATATTTATATACCAATGTCTTATTTAACATATAGATAAGAATAAGTAAGTTATCGTGGTTTTCGTATTTTTATAAGTAGGAAATTCTAAAAATGTGCAAGAAAAAAAAATTGTAAATAATTATTTTTCAGAGAGAAAAACCATGGACATTTTGTTTCTAAACCATCCAGAGTATAAGGGTACTGTTGTGCATCAGACAGGCCACTCTGTAAAAGCGGGTCAATCCAAATCTTCTGTTAAACATTTCACTAGGATACTTGGTATTTTAGGTAATGTCTGAGATGGGTCATCCATTTAACATGATTCAGCTGGTCAGCTTTATGTCCTGCAGTAAGGGGTATATGGGGGAGTGTGGTTTAAGAGGAGGCAGGTAGCATTATTATCACTGAAAACAAATTACAATTACAGTTCTCTTCAAAAATAACAAGGAATGGTATTTTTGAAAGCAAGATGATATATAGAGTGCAAATGGCTACTAGGTTACACCTTTAATTAAAGGTCACTCAAATTGTGACAATAAACACCCTTAAGAACCCACATTGGGACTTTTCCAGGGTACTTCGAGATTGTCAATATTAGTGCTGAAGTCAGAAAAATTCTCACAAAGTTCACTTCCTCAATGATGTGCCCAACAATCATAGGTAAATATTTTATGAATGTAATGATGCTTCTTTAAACATACTTGAGTGGTAAAATGTAATTAAATTGATTCTAGTATGCAGTAAAGATGTTTTACAGCATTTAACTTGAATGATTAGACACTTACTCAAAAATAAACTGAATGAACATGTATCGGAAGACTTTTTAATCATATTTGTGATGACCTACTTTCAATTTCTTTCTTAATCCTCTGTTTTGGATATCCCTACTGTATAAAACTTACGTTAGATAACAATTACAGCTAGATACAATGCTATATTAATTGGTCTATTAACCGATTGAATTAAAGGCTTTAAGAGCATTAAAACAAACATGAATTTGATCTTGTTTATATGATCTTATTAAAAAACATATTTTATCACATTTTAGGACTACTGTCATTTTGAACATTAGTCTTAATAAACATTAATCCAAGACCAAAACTTATGTTTGTTCAATCGATCAAAAACGGAAACAAAAACCAGTTTTTCAAAAGTTAAACAGCATATCTTAACTTGACATGCTGATTGGTTGAATTTTAAACTTCTTACTTGGATATCTTGGGTTTAGTAAAACCAGGAGTTTAAGCATTAATCTTGATATCCACCATTCCAAGGTTTTAACTAAGTTGTTGTTTACAGTAGGTATGTTTCTAATAGTGTGGTGAATACACAGTTAAATGACAATTTCGCTACATTGACTCTGAAATCACATAACTACTAACTATAGGTCAGGCTTGCTTGGATATGGTAGTCAACCCTCCAAGACCTGGGGATCCAAGTTACAGCATGTGGAAGACAGAAGTTGATGATTGCTTGGCAAGTCTGAAGAGGTCTGATTCAATTCTATAAACAGTTATCTAAATGGAGGTTACTTATAATTCCATGGGTAACAAAGTCTGAATTGAAAGATTTTCATATTGCTGACAGGAACTTGAAGCATAGTTCTTAGCAACCCACCTTGCAAAGAGATCAATTTCAAACCTTATTCTGATAAAAGAAGATACTTTCATTTGTGAGACTTAACAAGTGTTTTATTTATGTGAGTTTCTTCAATATTTCCAATAAACAAGAAACACGCCAGTCACTTTGAACCACACATTTAAATAAACAGATTAATTTAGACTAAACCTTGGATTTTAGAATGTCAGATAGTATCAGGCATTGTCATCTTGGAATTTAATTTAGAATTGGAATTTAAGTCCCCTTAACATTTATTTTAAATCACAGGAGAGGAGAAATGATAGCAGAGTCCTTTAATAAAATAGAAGGAGTCCACTGCAATCCAGTCCAAGGAGCAATGTATGCTTTTCCTCAGGTAATTAGATAAAAGAAGAACAGCGATGCTTGGTTTTACTATCAGTTTGAATGTGCTCAACTCTAGAACTGAATCATTTAGTATTTTACCAAACCTTCCATCTCTGCTATTTATAACCTGAGAGTAAGTTCTAACCAAAAACATATTCTATAGAACCATACACAATTGTCAATGAGAACTGTAAAACATCAGATTAGGAAAGAGGACTTTTATACTCAAGTTGTGATTTAATGTAGTGCAATGTTCATGTAAGTAAAACTATTAGGTTATTTACACTTCAATATTGTTATAATTCAATCTTCCTGTAACTCAGTGTTCTGATTCTCACTGTGCAGTGTGCATCCCTAACATTTGAACTCACCCAAAGACTTTGCTAAGTAAAGATAGCACATCAGAAAATCTACGCAAAGAACCTGTCAAATCTTTCCCTTGGATGTTTAGAAAAATGAAAATTTCCCTGTATGATAGTTGAAGGACTGCAGTATGGATTTGGTGAATCATATTGACGAACTAAGCCTAGGGGTGTAAGAAATGATATTTTTGCATTTTTTTGAAAACGTCCCATTAGCCTAAAAAAGTTGAATTTTGATAAAACTTTTTGTTCTGGACGATTGCACATATCTATATAAAACTTTCTTAAACCGGCATATGTTTTCTATATTCATTTAGTTCAGAGTTAGAGTTAAAATAAATATTATTAAATATTGCTTTATATTGAGTAGATATCCTTAAACATATCGATGTAAAACCTTTCATAGAGCAGGAAAGATTCTGCAGAAAAAAGTTGCCAAACCAAACAGAATTTTTATTTTGAACAAAAATATTTAGAACTTATATAGAAGCTTTTCTGGGTTGCACTTTACTCTAGTTTTGCATTATTTTCATTTGTGTATAACAGTATAAACGAGGTTCTGGTGATGGTTTAAAACTAAACAGCTGATGATTCATTGGAGGGAGGAATGGCAAAAACACCAATTTGCAATTCCCAAATCTTTTTATGGAAAGTGATGGTAACAGGGTATACAGAGTGCTTCTGGGTACAGGGTACCACAATATACTGCAAAGTACTGGGCTTTACTGGGGTATACTGGGGGGAGGGGGCACAGAAACCAAACAGAATTTTTTATTTTTAATAAAAAAAATATGTAGAGTCAGAAGTACTTCCAAGCATGTTTTCTTTATAGTTTTCCACTATTTTTTATAGATAAAAAAGCTTGTTTAATACTAATCAGCTGGAGGGAGGAATGGCAACCACACCAATTTGTAATCCCCATATCTGCAGGGTACTGTTGGGTACTGCGGGGTACATAAAAATTCTGTTTGGTTTGGCAACTTTTTTTTGCAGAATCTTTCCTACTTTCTAAAAGGTTTTACAGCGGTATGTTTAAAATTCTAATTTGTTGAAAAAAACAAAGTTTAAAAAAACAATTTAATAATTTCTACTGGCAATTCTATATTGATTAACATTGGAAACGCCTCAACACGGAAATGCCTCAAAAAAACAGAATCATAAAACTAATTTAATGTCGTCTTCTCTCAACTTAAAATTAAAAAGACTATATTCTATTGATTTTAACAGCCATTGCCGCAGCGCTCGGCCTCCCAGCCTGTTCTAGCCGTAGCGCACAGCCCCCTAGCCTGTCCTAATCTCAGCGCTCGGCCCCCTTATAGCCATCCTAGCCGCAGCGCTCGGACCCCTTCGTAGCCTGCGGCGCAACCTAACTTACCCTAAATTAATGGTAAAATAATTGTTAAAATTTTTTAATAATGAGAGAAGATGACATTAAATTAATTTTATGAGTCCGTTTTTTTGAGACATTTCCGTGTTAAGGCGTTTCCGTGTTGAGGCGTTTCCATGTCACCGACATAATATTGTCTACAAGTCTATCAATAGGATTTGGGTCCATGTCAATATTTAATCCATGAAAGAGACTGAAACTGCTCTTGGTATGTTTTCTAGAGCTAACTAAATTTTCCAAATCAGAAATATTCTTCAGACTGAGATCTGTTCGGGTCTGAGCATCAGAACTACTTGTCCCAATTTCATTTGGTTCAACCATCTCAGATTCATAGAATTCAACCTCTAGCAACTCAGTTATCAATTTTCTTTGATTCAGTTTTTTAATTGCATTAGTACTGGTTTCATGTTTTTGTTGCATGTAACGTTTTTCTTCATGGAATTGTTGAGAAATTACTTTTAAAATCTGAGTGTTTAAAATGTTTTTCACATACTCTTAGATCTTTACTTGTGATACATTCTTTAACTAAATGAAGGACCTTCAGCCCCAATTGTTTTCTTCTGGGATTAGCTGGAAATCTAAAATGTTAACCTCCTAGTTTTGAATTGCAGCTTGGTATTATACTTCTTGGAGCTGTGATTGGCACTGACGGACCTGAATTGATCAGAATTATTCAAAGAATTTGTATGCTTAAAGCTATGGAGTTTGAAGATGACATAATTAAAAATTAGACAATCTTCTTGTTCTCTGCTTAATAGAGGTATTTTAACATTCATTAAACTATTTAATCTTAACTTGAGTCCAAAAGTCGTCTTTAAATTCCTTATTTTTTTCACCAATGTATTTATTTTTTCCCGCTTTTTTAAAATCCTCCAATACTTAATGCCTCAAAACTTTTTTAATCGTCTTTAAAAGATTTCTAGGTAAAAGGTCGCCCTTTAATTCGCAAATTTAACGAAACTTTCTGTGGTTATTTTTTTTAATTGTGGATATTTTTGAAACAAAATCCCCATAAATCAATTGAAGAATAAGGTTTACACATTAATTTATGCAAACAGAAGACGTCATTTACACAAAATTTATTTACTGTTTATAATATTGGAGATTTCTGCTGTCCTTGCTTCTTCAACGCCTAAAACTCCGTTCCACAGAACCTCATAAAAAATATTTGAAGACATCTGAAAATGTCAAACAAACAATTATTGGCTATGTTTGATACAAAAGAGATGCGTAACTTAACACAAATTCAGCTATAATTCACCAGATGATCCTCATATCCAACAAATGATTAAATAAATTTTAAAATACAAATTAATATCATTAATTTTAGTTAATTTTTAGCCCAAAACATTCACAATTGTGTTAAATATCTAAGGTTTTAATGTCGATCGTTCAACTCTCTAACAACCAAAATAACCAATGACGTCAAAATACAGCTGTACAGGCATACACAATGGTTGGAGAAATTTCCAACGCCTTGTCTTTACAATTAGCAAAGTCTTTGGACTCATCCTGACCCAATTAGCTGTCTTTAGCTGTACAAACTTCATATTTGAATCCTGCTTATACCTCCAACCTGACCCAATTAGCTGTCTTTAGCTGTACAAACTTCATATTTGAATCCTGCTTATACCTCCAACGGCACCCTTATAGACATTTTTCCCTTAAAGTTTGCACTAAATACCAATGAATTTAATTTTGAAAACTAAATATTTTTAATGGCATGGTTTCACTTGCGTCTTGCGCATTATAACTGCAGAAAACATGTAGGAATGAGACCCTTTTAAGCTCAGAGAAATGACAACACAACATCTACCAAATTATTAAGGTTTAAGGGCACAGCCACCTTTGAAATCATTAAAGGATATAGATATCTCTAGCTATAAGTGATAATCTAGGTATTGCTACCGGAGAAGGCTATTGCTGCAGCTCAAGCTAGTGGCCAGGAACCTGATGTTTTCTATGCGTTTAAGCTCTTAGAATCTACTGGTATATGTGTTGTACCTGGATCAGGTTTCGGTCAACTTCCTGGTACATATCATTTCAGGTCAATCATTTAAATTTTCTTCATAATTTATTTTCAACGGATCTAATTATACTCCTCATACTCTGACTTTTGAAAACTTTATATATTTGGCCATCTGATGTCATAAACCTTGTAATTCAAACTTAAAGTTCTGCTATATCAAATAGTCTAAGCTTTAAAAACAACCTATGAAGTAAATAATTTCACCAGTAGTAGCTTGAAAACAACTTATAAAGTAAATAGTTTCACCAGTAGTAGCTTGAAAACAACCTATAAAGTAAATAGTTTCACCAGTAGTAGCTTGAAAACAACCTATAAAGCAAATAGTGTCACCAGCAGTAGCTTGAAAACAACCTATAAAGTAAATAATTTCACCAGTAGTAGCTTGAAAACAACCTATAAAGTAAATAGTTTCACCAGCAGTAGCTTGAAAACAACTTATAAAGTAAATAGTTTCACCAGAAGTAGCTTGAAAACAACTTATAAAGCAAATAGTTTCACCAAAACAACTTATAAAGCAATTAGTTTCACCAGAAGTAGCTTGAAAACAGCTTATAAAGCAAATAGTTTCACCAGCAGTTTCTTGAAAACAACCTATAAAGTAAATAGTTTCACCAGTAGTAGCTTGAAAACAACCTATAAAGGAAATAGTTTCACCAGTAATAGCTTGAAAACAACCTATTAAGCAAATAGTTTCACCAATAGTAGCTTGAAAACAACCTATAAAGCAAATAGTTTCACCAGTAATAGCTTGAAAACAACTTATAAAGTAAATAGTTTCACCAGTAATAGCTTGAAAACAACTTATAAAGCAAATAGTTTCACCAGTAGTAGCTTGAAAACAACCTATAAAGTAAAAAGTTTCACCAGTAGTAGCTTGAAAACAACTTATAAAGCAAATAGTTTCACCAGTAGTAGCTTGAAAACAACTTATAAAGCAAATAGTTTCACCAGTAGTAGCTTGAAAACAACTTATAAAGCAATTAGTTTCACCAGTAGTAGCTTGAAAACAACCTATAAAGTAAATAGTTTCACCAGTAGTAGCTTGAAAACAACCTATAAAGCAAATAGTTTCACCAATAGTAGCTTGAAAACAACTTATAAAGTAAATAGTTTCACTAGTAGTAGCTTGAAAACAACTTAAAAAGTAAATAGTTTCACCAGAAGTAGCTTGAAAACAACCTATAACGTAAATAGTTTCACCAGTAGTAGCTTGAAAACAACTTATAAAGCAAATAGTTTCACCAATAGTAGCTTGAAAACAACCTATAAAGCAAATAGTTTCACCAGTAGTAGCTGGAAAACAACCTTTAACGCAAATAGTTTCACCAGAAGTAGGTTGAAAACAACCTATAAAGTAAATAGTTTCACCAGTAGTAGCTTGAGGAAAACAACCTTTAACGCAAATAGTTTCACCAGAAGTAGGTTGAAAACAACCTATAAAGTAAATAGTTTCACCAGTAGTAGCTTGAAAACAACTTATAAAGCAAATAGTTTCACCAGAAGTAGGTTGAAAACAACCTATAAAAAAAAAATAGTTTCACCAGTAGTAGCTTGAAAACAACCTATAAAGCAAGTAGTTTCACCAATAGTAGCTTGAAAAGAACTTATAAAGTAAATAGTTTCACCAGTAGTAGCTTGAAAAGTAAAAGTAAAATGGGTATAATTGCTATAGTTTAATTTCATTGGACTATTATTTATATTTATTTTTGTTAACTTTGTTCAATGTTGATAAGGAAGATATTTCAGGACTTCAATCCTACCCAGACAGGAGGTGATTCAAGATTTGCTAGCAAGATTTAAAACATTTCATCAAGATTTTATAAAAGAGTTTTCATAAAAACTCAAATCAAAATTTTTAGAGTCTAAATTAAAATTATTGTTCAATTTGGTATTTATTGGTATATTTTTATCATAAATAAAAAAGCTTGTGTGTATTAATAAACCTGATTTTGTAGACAAAATGTGTCATGGGTCTAACCCTTCAGTTTGAATTAAATTTGCTGGAGCAATTTTTACAATTTTGCAGGGTGATTTTTAAAAGCAAAGTACAACAATAACATAATTTTAATATCGTTAATAAGTTATTCCTTGACATTTGATAAAGAATTATTTATCTCCAGCATTGTTAATATTTCTCTGCTATTTTATGGCTAGTGTATTTAAATAAAATATAGTAATATCTTTTAAAGTTTGATTGTTCACACAGGAATGTGTTTTTCTAGGGTTAAAAATTCCAAGTTTATAGTGAGTCGATTTTTACCAAGAAAGTTTAGTTTCCAAGCCAGTATGGAGATAAATATGTATAAATAATGTTGATGAATATTTCTTCTACTCTGAAAGTTGGGAGGGGGGGGACCCCCCCACACACTCCTTCATAACAAGACCACAATGGTCAACATATTTACCGTTAATGTGATTTATGATTTAATATCTATTCCATGTTTACAATTGTATTCAATGATAAGTATTCAATGGGTTCTTCACCAGAATATTATATTGGTTAACCTGACAGGGAGGCAGTGGCATTAATTTCGGTAAAATCTATTTATAAACTTCGCTACAGTGCTTTTTTGTGTATCCAAAAAAAGGATTAAAACGGCTGGGTCCATAGGTTGTGTGAAACCTCACAAGCCAGCAAAGAGGTTAGAATTTGCTCAAAATAATTTCGATTTACGGAAATTTTTCTGTAATTGTTTAATAATTTACGCAAAGAAAATACTCACAGACAAAGCAACAATTAGAAGTTGAAAGTTGAAATGGGAGTGTAGTCACATATTTTTAAAGAATTGACTATATATTTTCAAAGCTTGATTTAAAATTTTCCAAGAATTGATTGTAAAATACTGAATCTCACCCCTTTCCGGTATTTTAGCTGCCACACCCAGGGGCGTACACAGGGATTTGTCTGGGGGTGGGGGGGCTCTAAACCATTTAGTTACTTCTCAAAAGGGCGGAGGGGAATAAGCCCCCTTGGAAACCAAAGGTTTCACTTTTTAAAGGAGTGACCTATCCCCACAAAGCCCCCCCCCCCATCCCGATAAACACAGC